CAAGATTACCAACCCCAGTTTTAACTGAACTCACAATTCGGTCCTTGAGGCCAATAAGCTCCTCCTCATCCTTCTTCCTCTGCTCGAAGTGGGCATCAATCAGAGTATGGAGCTCGAGTAAATCCTTCTCCATACGCTTTCTGTGGATGTCCTGATGGGACAAGGAAGTGTTTATTTTCATATAGGGATCTCTACAGAACTGATAAGATATGCTACAATTAAAACAGATTATTTCACCACTGATACATCTATTGTTTTCTGTGTGAATACAGGCCTCCATCAAGTCAAGCTCATGGATTTTTGGGAACCAAGTCTTGTCGAAAATATCTGCATAAGATCTTTTAAAAGCTAAAATAATAAATTAATTTAATCAGATGTCCTGGATATAATTACAATCAATATTTCAGTCCTCTGGGTATTCAAATGCAGGAGGTTAGTGTAGTTTTACAATCTGGGAGGGGTCATTGGCTGTTGAATGAAGATATATTTGGGTGTCATCTGCAAAGCAATGATAATTTAAGTTGTATTTTATGTGACCAAGTGGCAGAGAACAAAAGTGGCCCCAGTATTGATCCCTGTGGACCATCAAATGTTATCTTATAGCAGCAATCTGGGTTAATGTATTATTGTGAAGCCTTTCTGACACTTAGATATGAACAGAAACAGAAGTTAAAACATCTGTGGTTCCCAGATGATTTATACCACAGCTGCAAAGTAAAAATTAAACTGATCTGGTTTAATCCCCTTATCATAACTTACGTCAAAATCCACCCTATCCCCCTCAGGAATCTTTGGAGGGGCAAGTTGAGGCACCATAGGTCTGGAGGAAAAAATAAGCACAAAATGAAGATTGAAATGAAAATATTAGAGGAATATGTAATTTCAGACTAAGAAAAAAAACTACTGCAACCAAACATAATAAAACTGTGTGAACATACTTGGGTTTGGGGCGCTCCTCCTCTGTTGATGAAGGAAAGAAAGATGAAAGAATAAAATGTTTTACATAAATGTGTAAAAAGATTAATTTGAAAATCTGAAACCTGTTAATAAAGCTATTAATGTGACTGAAAGCACAGCAAGCGTGGGACTGAGAAAAGAAACATAAAATCAAGCAAGTTTTTTACTTATGATAAAACATAAGAGCAAAGACATAATGTTTTTATCAGCAAACACTTACAATTACCAATCCAGGGTCATACTGAACTTGTACTAGTACACCAATTTACTCCATTATAGCCGTATAGCTCTCAATACTTTGTTTCCAACATGAGAGCTTTGCAAGTTGAAAGGAGTTTAAAGGAGTAAATCTAACTCTAATGTTTATTAGATAACTAATTTGAGGTAAAATTGTCTAAGTTAGCGACCTCAGCTGGTTCTGAGCTTGAGGAGAGGAGAGCTTAAAGGAGTTTTAACCCTTTAGAGAACCACACGTCTACAATTTCTTACCTTCCTCCTGGGCATCTTGATCTGACGGACCAGCAACATAAAGACAAAATGAAAAATAGAAGGTGGACAGCATAAATAATACATGGAGTAACAAAGGAGCCATTAATGATGGATGAAAAGTACACAAGAAAACAGCAAGGGAATAGAGAAAGGTGGGGTGAAGGAGAGGAGTAGGGAAGGAATGAAGGAAGAATGGAAAAATAGGTAAACAAGTAAAAATGTAGTAAAGAAGGCAATAAAGAAGGAAAGACAGTAAAAGGAGGATGAAATACATACAGAAGTAAGACATGAAGAACCAAAGGGAGGAAGGAAGAAAACAAAAAAACAGATGATCCAGGAAAAAATTTAAATCAAAGATGAGGACATAAGAAGGAAAGATGTGTGGAATGATCGAAAAAAAAGTTAATATCTGATACTGCACAGGTAGCAAGCTTAAAGAAATAGTTATACATTTTGGAAAATGTACTTTTGGCTTTCTTGCACACCTGGCCCAAGACTTCTGAAGGAAGTTGGGCACCAGGGTCCTCAGTGCGCACACCCTAAACTGACCACAACTACTACACTACTGCCTGAAAGACACATCTGCACTTAGAATATAAGGGCCCAAGACCCATGGTGTTTAAAATGTAAGCTGACCACAAGGGCCCCTGGGGCTTAAAGCGCGATCTGACTACTAAGGGCCCCTGGTTATACAAGGGTTGCAACGTCATGGTTTAGGGGGGCTCCAAAAAACATGATTCCCTCACCACCAGTAGCTTGTTAGCCACAAGCAATCCTTTTTTCACATTACACATGGTCAAAAAATTGTTACGTGTGGCTTTAGATCTTGGAATAAAACATGCTGACTAAAGCAGACAAGAAATATAGAAATATCGAATTTGATTTCTGTTTGTGTTGTTTGTACCTTTAAAACACTGGCTGCAACAGCAGGCAACACAGAAAAGCAGTAAAATGTACACAACAGTAGCAAAGGCAATCAAACTATCATGGAAATATGAGGTATGACATATGATTTTATCTTT